CACAAGTCGGTCGACTTGGCCTCGACAATGCAGACGTTCTTCTTCTTCCCACCGCGGAGAACAAACTCAAAATGCCCCTGAGCCTTGACATCTCGGCCATGCATCTTCTTTTCTGTTGTGATCCGCACATCGCCGTCGAAGAGGGAGCACACGCAGAACAGGATCGTTGCAATTAGGTGCACGCGCTGCGCTTCGTTGCCCTCACTGATTGGCCCCTAGCACGTCGATGCCATCTTGAGATACCGGGCTTGAAAGTCGAGATTTTCTGGTGGTAGTTCGATGCTGGGTTGAGTGTACGGCGTTGGTTCAAACACATCTTTGACATCCAACCACTTGACACTGGAGAATGCCACCACACCCACCCCGTCATCCCGAGCTTGTCTTCGAGGATCGCGTTCAATATATCTCATCGTTCTTGTCGCGGGGAACTGGGCGTCGTGCGGCGCACTTTGAGCGCTCCAGGTTGAACCACAGCGCCCGGGGCGACCACCAGTATGTGAACCCCTTGAGCGTCGTGCGCATCGGCCTCGTCGAAATAGCTGAAACCTTGGATCCATCGACCATTTGCGTGGTAGATCCGCCAAAGGTTGCCAAAGTACAAGTTGATGCGTCCACCGGAGTCCCGTTGAACACAACCTGTGTGCCCTTGTCGTACGTCACACCCTCCACACGGTACAGCTCCACGGCATCGGCTCGGCACCCGTGTATGATCTTCATGAACGCGATCTTGACGTCATGGCCGGTCTCGTCGGCATCAACATGGGCCGAGAAGATGTGTCAGTCGCCAACCACGACGCATGTCAAGTCGAGCACATTTGGAAATGAACCTTTGTTGCTGTGGTTCAATCACTCGCTGAGAGAAAATCAGTAGTAAATGCTTCGTGTTGACGTTGCACATTGATATTCAATGCAACGTTATGTTTCTGTATCGCGAAGCTCGAGTACGTGCATCCTTTGCAGTTAAATGCCTGAAGAAAATGGGCTCTGCAACTCTCGGGATACGTTCAGTTTGTCAAGCTAGCAGAGTTCTGTATGAATTCTACAGGGTTGCATCAATCGGCGATCGTTGACTGTAAACGGTGGATCGACAGCTGTATACTCGGGGAATTACATTGTCTTCGTTGGGGGCATACTGTGTCGCAATTACCGCCTATTTTCACCAACATTTCTTATTCCAATAACGGATGAATTATATGGATGGTTGGAAGTGCATATAAGCACTGCGATTCGAATACTACGTAACGTTTTACTACTGGTAATAAAGAAGTATGAATAAATACTTTGTGCATAATTTTATCACACTTTCTCTGTTCCGGATAAAAGTGGTTCAAGAATTCTCAGGACCTCAAATTAGGCATTACTACGTAGTAGTTACTTACTGGAATCAATACACTTACAGTCCGGCCGGAAACTATAGACGCACCTCGCAATTTTCGAGTTCATGATGATATCATTCGATTCAGCTCGAACCTTT